TGGCTTACGGAGGAAAGATTCTTTTCCACTTCCCCATGGACAATAGAAGAAATAAAGAAGAACAAGAGCTATTTAGAAAAAGGAGAAAAACCTAGATGTATATATATTATATATATATTATATATATATGATATATATATATATATATTATAGTATATAGATATATATTATTATCTGTGCGTGTTTTTTATGAGACAGAAAAAGAAACCAGCAATCCTACCATCATGCAAAACAGTTACAGGTTTCTGTTTCACAGTATATCCTTCTTAAATCTGAATTTTTCCAACTTAAAACCATTGCTGCGAGTCTTGCCTTGGCTAGATATTTTTAGCATTCTATTTACATCCCCTTTATTTATTCCTGTTTTCCATTTATACACCTCAATCATATTCCCCCGAATTCTACGCCTTTCTAGAGAGTGCAGATTCAGGGCCTTAGTCTAACCTCATAGGAAAGATTTCTCATACATGGGATCAACTTTGTCACTCCTTTGTACGTTTTCCAGAGCATTTACATCCATTCTGTAATACAGTGACGAAGACTGAGCAGCATAATCTAAATGAGGCCTAACCAAGGATATAGAGAGTTTAAAGAACAACCTGAGAACTCCTATTATTTATGCTTCATGATATGAAGCCATGGACTCCGTTCGCTTTATTGCGAACACATATATACTATTGTCTTAGTTTTACGTTACTTCTAACCAGAACTCCCAAATCCTTCTCGCAATCAGTAATATTAAGATCTACGTTATATAGTTCATATGTGGCAGGGTTATTTTCCTGTCCAATGTTTAGAAGTCTGTATTTGTCTATATTAAACTGCATCTGCTACTTCTCCGACTACTGCATCAGTCTGTTTAAGTCTTCCTGGAGTGCTCTAATGTCCTCGTCATAATGAATTCGTCGGCCTATTTTGGCGTCATCGGCAAACTTGCTTATATCGCTATTTATTTCTTCTTCTATGTCGTTTATGTAGATTGTGAACAACAAGGGGCTCAACACTGACCCCTCTGGAGCACCACTCGTGAGACTTTCCCACTCTGATTTCTCCCACTTTATACAAATTCTCTGCTGCCTATCTGTCAACAATGCCTCTATCCAGGAAAAATGTTCTCTTTCCTTTTCCATGTGCCTTATTTTTCCTCAATAGTCTCATATGAGGGACTCCATCGAAAGCCTTACTGAAGTTCATATACACAAATATATTCATTGCCATAATTTACCTCATCAAATACCTTAGTGAAAAAAATTAATAAATTCGTAAGGCAGGAACACCCTTTTGTAAAATCGTGCTGAGGCTTGTTGATCAGTTTATACTTTTCAAGATGGCTACGAATTGCCTCGGCAATTATTGATTCCATAAATTTTCCCACTGTGGAGGTTAGGCTTATTGGTGTATTATTCGAAGCTAAGGACCTGTCATATTTGCCATTTTCCACTTATCTGGCACTATGCCACCTTGTAGTGATATGTTGAAAAGATTAGCCAAAGGTTCACTAAGTTCCTCTTTATATTCTTTTAGAATCCGTGCTTACAGTACATTATGGCCTGGGGATTTATTAGGTTTTAATTTATTTGTATAAGGGCCATGTCACTTGTGACCCTAATCATGCATAGTTTATTATTATCATATTCTACATAATTTATTATTTCTGGAATATCTGTAGTATCTTCCTGTGTAAAAACTGAGAAGATGTAAGTGTTAAAAATACTACACATTTCCTTATCACTGCCGGTGAATTGATCCGAGAAACTTTTGAGTGGGCCTATCTTGTTCCTAACCTTTCTTCTGTACCCCTGAAAGAATCTTTTAGGTTAGTCTTCGATTCTCTTGCAACTTTAACCTCATAATCTCTTTTTGCTTTTCTTATTCCCTTTTTTATCTCTCTTTACTGATATATTATTTCTTAACTGATCCTCTCCTCTTTTGATTCGCCTATATATGCTCTTTTGAGCAATGAGATGCTTTAATCTATTGTTTATCCATTTAGGAACATTTTTGTTTGATCTGATTTCCTTATTTGGAACATAAGTTGACTGAGCAGCTAGAACTATGCTCTGGGAAACTTCATATCAGCAACCATCACCACCTACCTGGCCGATAGTCAGATCATTCCAGTTCAACCCACCCAGGTAATTTCTCAGTCCTATGAAATCAGACATGCAGCAGTCAGGGACAGAGACTTGATTGTCATTATTAGGATAATTCCTTGATATATTAAATATGAGTGATTTGTGATCACTTTCCCCAAGCTCATCATTAACAGATTGTGAGTACTTCAATGTTATAAGATGTGAAAAATTTGTGAGTGCATGAATATTGTTGGGTGTTGTTATCGTTGTGACAAATTAAAATTTTGAGTGTCTATTTCTTATATTGTTATATGAAATGTTATAAGTAATGAATAAAAAATTGTGAGTGCATGAATGTTATAAGATGTTGTATTTGGAAAGTTTATGGCGTGAATGAAAATTTTTAGGTTGTTGAGTTTAATTTTTCTGAGTAAACTAGAACGATTTATCTGAATGTTTTTGCATCAGGAATAAAATTGTATAAATATAAACTGCAAACAAAGTTTTTAAAAATAATGGAGAATAATGAGTCACCTCTGCATTCTTGTAAGCAAATATGTGCCTTAAAAACTGACAAAAAATGTTATCCTGGGAGGTTAATACTATAGCATATATAACTCTAATGTATACACACTTCGTTGGGTTATCTAGGGCTAAACATACCTTACCTTTGGGTAAGGTAAATTTGTTCAGGGGAAATGGCGCACTTGATCAGAGGAAATTCGAAAAATCTGGTAACCCCTCAAATACTTCATTCAAAGAAATGGAGCAGAGGCTATCCTGGAGTTAGGGTGGGAGTAGGGGCGGGAAAGGGGAGGAGGAGAAACATTTAAAAAAATATGAGGAAATGGAAAACTTTTGAGGGGCCAGAGCCCCCACTTAAAAAAAAGGTAGCCACTCTGCCATAGCCATACGCTATTAAAGCAAGACAAAGTTCACGATGCTGTATCCTACAAACAACAAGAGCCTAGCGAACTAGGCTTGCATCACTTTGTGAGGACATACGTGGTCGTGGCAATCTCAAAGCTATTTTCGGGATTTTATTAATAATTTCATTAATATATAGGCTGCTCGTGGAAGCTGGTATTCAAACTGGATTAGACTGACCTTTGAGCTTGCTACGGCTACGTATGTTTTCGCAACGTGATGCAAGCCTAGCTTCCCAGGCTCACGTTGTTTGTAGGATTGATGGTCCAGTGGATAGAGTGTTGCGATTGTTGTCCTTTGTCTTGTTTCTCATGGGGTGGGACAACGTGACGCGGGATCGAGTTTCGGCCAGCCGCAGTTTCATTAATGATTTAAAATCACTTGTTTAATTTCATTAATATACAGACTGCTTGTGAAGGTTATTATTCAATCAGGAGTAGATAAAACTTGTAACATGATGCAAACCTAGTTCGCTAGGCTTATGTTGTTGGCAGGATTGATGGTTCAGTAGACAGAGCATCATGAACATTGTCTTGCTTCCCATGGGGCGGGACAAAGTGACGGGGGATCGAGTGCCGGGAAACAGTAGTTTCAACCCAATTGCGAGTTTGGCCTATTTGACAAAAGTACACATTGCCGAATTACTAAAATGAAAATTTGTTTTTGGTATAAAACTGAAAATAGGTCTGAGCAAAACGAAAAAAAAAATATCACCAATTTTAAGTAACACTAAAAAAATGTATTATTTTATGATGTATATAGCAGAATTTGGCGAAAAATCATTTCCTTATTTTAAGGGAGATTACTTGAGATTTCTAAGTTAATTTTGGTCCAAAAATTATAAATCTGTATATTGTTGTCTACGAGAAATTTGATATGAATTTCTCTAAAAAAATTATTTCGGAAAGTTGATTTCTTAACGGGGGTTCGGCCTATTCGGTAAGTTTGGGTCACACATGGAGAAGATCCAGGCCAGGACCGTCCTGGCGAACCTACTTGAAACCTCTGTATGATAGAAGTGATCAAGATCCCTAAAAAATATGTCCAAGTGTTTGCTCACGTGACTTTCTAAACCAGTTTGTCTGTATGCATTACCAAGGTCCGTACCAAAAGTGGTACTAACTTAGGTGTAGTTCCTGAAGTTTTGATTAGTATATAATTTCTCTTTTATGAGAGGATATTTACCCTGATGGAAGTTTATTTTAATCCCTTAATGACTGTAGTGTACTTGATAGGTTTTAAACAGCTTGCGCAAGTCTAGCGCAAGCTGGACTCCAAGGTATTGGTCCAGTGTGGGTAGATTGGTAAAGCACTGCGTACCTTGTTCCAAGGTTCGTAGGTTCGAGTCTCCTTCAGCCAGAGATCAGTGTTTATATATATATATATATATATATATATATATATATATATATATATATATATATTAGTACATGCTATAAAATTTTAGGAATAATGGCAGTGAAACCCAATAGTGTCTCGGTAGCCGCATAGAGTAGTAGCTTCAGGAGTCGCAGTTTGCCCAGGTCTGCATATAGTCTGTTAGAGCACAGGGTGTGCATTGTGTGTTATTCCATAAATATGATCACTGTTAAACTTGGTTAAGTGTCAGTTCCTTGCGTTCCTGAAAGTTAAAGTTGTTGATATACGGCTCCAGGGCATTTCTGAGACTCTTATGCTGCAGGTAGATCAAAAGACGTCAATAATTTTAGGCCAATTGAAGGTGTTATTTTTAGTTTTTGACCTGTCTGGGATGACTGAACGGTAACACTTGAGGGAGTTTATCTGTACCTCTTCTTCATCTTGAGAATTTGGAGATTCATTGAGGTATAGTTGATTGGGTTTCTGTGATGAGGATGATACTTTCCGAAATAAATCTAGTTTTCAAGCTAAGTGGAAAACGTAGTTCAGGTAGGACAGCAGATACTTAAGGCATTCTGATAATGATCAGTTACAAGAGATACTTTCTTGATTCCAGAAGAACATAAAATGTTCACTCACCTTTGGACTTGGGTGCGAGCATATGGAAGTGGACAGAAGCACCACCGGCGCTCTCACCAAAGACAGTGACTTTGGTCTTGTCTCCACCAAAGTTGTGAATGTTCCGCTGCACCCACTGCAGCGCCAGCGTCTGATCCTTCAGCCCGAAATTGCCGGGGATCACCGAGTCTTCAGTTGACAGGAAACCTGAGTTGAAATAAACAAGTTTTTTCTTTAATTATTGCTATTTGAAAGCCTGAAATAATTAGGTGGTGTGATATATTTTTAAAGTTGCCAGGAATTAGTTTTCTCTCGACAAGAAACCCGGACTAAAGAGAAAAACATAACAGTATGTGAGTCGTATATGGTGTGTGTGCACGTGACATTACAACATGATAATAATAAAATCAAATTAAGCACTGTTCCCGACAGAGTAATAGTGCATCAGGGGAGGAATGTGCAAAAGCCGGACTGTGCAAAGTTGGTGAGGAATTACAGGGCAGAATATGAGTGAGGGTGTAGTGAATAATGCAAAAGGAAAATTTAAATTACAAATGGGGCTATAAGTTAGTTTTTGTGAAAAAGTCAAAGGTAGAGTCTGTATCAAAGGTAGGAATTTCAACAATAATGTTAGGTAGAGTAAGTTTGCTGGGACGCCAGAGACGACACAAATGATTTCTGCGTGTCCGCAGAATGGCCAGACAATCTAATAAGATTTGGTGAATTGGCAATGCATGAGTGAGGCGCATGTAGCCAAGAAGGGAGAATACAGTCCTTCAGGCAATAAGGAAAAGATGGCCAGGAACCTAAATGTGGCTTGGCAGAAAGAAATTTGTTGTAAGCCAATTTGGACTAAGGGACACTTTGTGGGAAACTGGGAGATCATGAACAGAGACCGAGTGCTGACTCTCCTTGTCCCTTACCCCGAGCATAAACGTATCTATGGAACCAGGAAAAACCTTACTTTTTATTTTTAGTTGATATGTGGCATAACCAAAGTTGAATGAAAAGAACGACGGGATGAAGAGAGTCGAATTTCTGGATTGCCTAAAATGCACTGTGGGAGTCCGAAACAACTATGACTAACGATGCAGTTTGTGTGGCTGCAGTGAGAACTGTTCTTGACACAGCTGCGAAAACACTGTCCAAGACCCGTGAATGATCTCGCATGACTGTCAGGTAGCAATGCTTATCCCCGTGGCCTGGTGGCTAGAGCTTTCACCTTACACGGCGAGGGTCTGGGTTCAATTCCAAGCGAGGGTAGAAACATTGGGCGTGTTTCTTTACACCGGTTGTCTGTTTATCCATCAATAAAATGGAAACCTGGTAATTAGCCGACTGGTGTAGGTCGCATCCTGGGGCAAAACTGACGTAATTTGCCAGAAATGCTCTGCATAACAAACGACCTTTTATATAGTAGTACGTCACTGATGTCAGCCATGCCTGTATACCTTGTACATGTACTTGTAGTAAATAAATATACTATTATAATTATTCTTATTCTTATTAAACAGCAGATCTGGAACCATCAGTGTAAACTGCAATACATGCGAATGGAATTGATCTCTTATTATTATTATTATTATTATTATTTATTGTTATTATTATGAATTTTCTTATTATTATTATATTCATGTGAAGCGCTTAACCCATACGAAAGACGCAGTGTAGTGCAAGCATGAAGGTAAAGTAGGCAAGTGAGCTTTCGCTAATGGAAGTAGGGAAGAGCACACATGAATCGTCGGGACTTACCAAGGAGGGAAGTAATTTAATTAAGGGAAGCTAACAGAAAGCGAATAAAGAGAGGAAAGAGTCGTAATATATGGGACGACATTCAAACAATGGAACGTTAATAACATCTCTTTCAAACCTTACAAACATAAATAGTGCATTAGAACTGGGCAAGAGTCTAAACGCTCTATTTATTCTTATGAGAAATTTTACCCACCTATTGATTTTAAGGGTCAAAATATAATCGAATCAAGTCTCATATAAAATTGTGTTGATATCATGAATATTAGTTCAGGGATATATAAATTAGATTAATTTATAATTAATAGAATTTGTGAGGAATTTAATCTATGCCTGACATGACACTCATAAATAATACTTGACACGTGTCCTTAGCTAAACCTTCAACATGGCCACATGTGAGATATTTCAGCCTTAATTATTTGAGAAATAATGTATATACTTGGAAATTAAAAAAAAAAGTTCACAGTGGTTAACATACACCACCCCACACACACACACACACACACACACACACACACACACACACACACACACACACACACGGGAGGGGGGGCCGAAACATGGAGAGCCAAGATGGAGGTGGTACTGGAAAACCTCATGCATCAACAATTAGGGACACTACCAGAGAAAGAAGAGGATGAAATAGTAGGGCTCGAACTCATAATCAAAGTAAAAGGACACAAGTGCAACTAATGTGACGTTTTACTGTAGCAACATTTCGCGCTCCAGGAGCTCTGTCAAGCCATTACACAACTAATGTGACATTTTATTGTGGCAACGTTTCACTCTCCAGGAGCTTTGTCAAGTTGTAATGGCTTAACAAAGCTCCTGGAGAGCGACACGTTCCCACAATAAAATGCCACATTAGTTGCACTTGTGTCCTTTTACTTTACGTATTGTCGGTAATTCTACCAAAATATATACAACTCATTCACCTTGAGTAGTGAGGAGGTCAACATAAGATTCAAAGAAGTATTCACAGAGGAGACAGGAGAGATTGAAGAAAGACGAAAAGGTGGAGTACACTATTAAGTGTTTTAAAGAATACATACAAACGAGGAGGTGAAGAGGCTGCTAAGCAAGCTAGATACCTCAAAGGCGATGGAGCCAGATAACATCTTATGGGTCCTGAGAGAGGGGGCAGAATTGTTATGTGTACCACAATGCATCTATCGAAACAGGGTGACTACCTGAGGCATGAAAGACAGTAAAGGTAGTCTCGGTTATTAAAAAAAATGAGACAGACACGAAGTACTAAACTACAGACCAGTGTCACTGATATGTAGAGTATGCAAAGTCATTGAGAAGATTACCTAGAGAAAAGTGGTGGAGCACATAGAAAAGAATGAACTAATCAACGATAACCAACACGGTTTTAGGGACGGGAAATTCTGTGTCACGAACCTGCATATCTACTGGAGAATTGAGACACTTATGCAACTTATGGGAATCTTTACTGAAGAAACGTTTCGCCACACAGTGGCTTCATCAGTTCTGTACAAAGCAGGAAAGTATAAGGAGAGAACGAGTCTGAGGTAATCAGTCCCTCAGCCTTGAGTCGATGTGTTCAGTCCATCAATCATGTAGAAAGTACAGCACAGGGCCGTAGCAGTGGCTTATATACTGTAGTGAGGTGAGGCGAAGCAGGAGGAGGCAGGGTCATAGTGGAACCATCCACTAGTCTAAGTAGGTTTTCGTCCAAAGATTGGACACGTTTCGAAGAATTCTTTGTAACATGACCCCATGATGATGCAGTGTCTGACAATTGTGATGAACGGTTTTGAAAACCCACAAGTTAAGAATTGAGACACTTACGAAACATATGGGAATCTTTACTGAAGAAATGTTTCTTCAATAAAGACTCCCATACGTTGCATAAGTGTCTCAGTTCTTCAACTTGTCGGTTTTCAAAACCATTCATCACAAACCTATTGGAGTTCTATGACAGGGTGACGGCAGGAAGACAAGAGAGAGAGAGGGGTGGGTAGACTGCAAGAAGGCGTTTGAGAGAGTACCAAACAAGAGATTAACAAAGCTAAGATTCAGCAGTATAACAGGGAAGGCACTGCAGTGGATCAGGAAATACCTGTCGGGAACGTATCTGCGAGTCATGCTACATGACGAGGTGTCACACTTGACGCCTTTGATGAACGGGATTCCAAGGGGCAAGTCCTAGGACCGGAGCAGTTCCTAGTATATGCGAATGACATGACAGAAAGATTAGACTCACAAGTGTCCCTGTTTGCATTTGATGTGAAATTAATGAGAAGAATTCAATCACATGAGAACCAGGCAGAACTACGAATTAAGCTGGACAGGCTGCAGGCCTGGTCCAGAAAGTGGCTCCTGTAATTCAGCCCCACCAAATGCAAAGCCATGAAGATTGGGGAAGGGCAAAGAAGACAGTGTAGAGGGCCAGAGATTACAAACGTCACTCAAGGAAAAGAATCTAGGAGTGAGTATAACACCGGGCACATCTATTGAGGAGCATATCAACCAAATAAATGTTTCAGCACATGGGCGCCTAGAAAACCTAGGAATAGCATTTCGACATCTCAATAAGGAATCGTTCAGGACCCTGTACACCGTGTATTTCAGGACCATATTGGAATATGCAGCACCAGTTTACAACCCACACCTAGCCAAACAAGTAGGGAAATTAGAGAAAGTGCAAAGGTTTCCAGCAAAACTAGTCCCGGAGCTAATGGGCGTGTCCTACGAGGAGAGGTTAAGGAAAATCGACCTGACGACATTGAAGGAGAGGAGAGAGAGTGAGGATATAATAACGACATATAAATATACTGAGAGGAATCGACAAGGTGAACAGGGACAGGATGTTCAAGAGATGGGACACAGCAATAAGAGGATCACAATTGGAAGTTAAAGACTCAAATGAATCAAAGGAATTTTACTAAGTTGTCAGGAAGTGGAATAGTCTGGAAAGTGATGAAGAGGAGGCAGGATCTATACACAGCTTTAAGAAGAGATATGATAAAGCACATGGAGCAGGGAGAGTGACCTAGTAGTGACTAGTGAAGAGGCGGGGTCAGGACCTGTGACTTGACTCCTGCATCCACAACAAGATGAGTACACAGATACACAGACATATACAGACACACACACACACACAGACACACACAACACACACACACACACTCACAAAACACACACACACACACACACACACACACACACACAGCAGAAGCTAGGATACAGAGTTTAGAAGAGGAATTGAAAAATATGAAACAGCCTAAAGAACTAAAGAACATTTTGGGATTGACAACAGAGACTGCTACCTCAGCCACAAATAAGGGGACTGTAGGGAAAGAAGGAGCACAACTGCATGGAGAAGCTCTATCAGAGGAGACTGTAGCAAATGAAAGAGCTAAGCTTTATGTGGAGACCCTAACAGACAACAACAGAGCCCAAGGAAAGCCGAGAAGGGAAAATGA